CTTGCTAGATCATACTCATTTGGAACATTTCTTCTTTTCATTAGCATTTGACAACTTATAAAAGGGTTATCCCATAAAACAAAGTTTCTAAAACATATGGATATAGTCACAGCGCAAAGATCACTGATTGAAAACAAATTACATGAAAGGTGGGAGGAAAGATGGACGATAAGGGACACCCACACTTCCTTAGGAATCTGAAACAAAACATCACGTGCTCAACTGAGGGAAAGGAGTTTCATGGCATTGAAAGTCACAGTAGGGCAACAGTAAACAGTCGATAATTAGGGAATAGGTGAAACTCAGAATATTGGACTTAAATTTGTAAAAGAAACAATGAACCCTAATAAAGAGCACTAGGCAAAATGGGAGGCAAAAGTGGAAAATCACCCCCCACCTCCAAAGATGGGGCTTTAAGCCAAAGAGAAAAGGAGAGAGACTTGAGTAGCTCCATAGCACACAATCAGGCACTTTACAAAAATTTATTTCAAGATGGGAGATCTGCCATCTACATACCTAGCAGACACCGGCAAAGAGGCCCTGGGAACCTCTTGGCTTGCTCATTAGTGGCATAGTGGAGAATCATCTTTAGAGCGGTCTTTTAGTCAAACCTTTTGGCTAGACAGATTAGAAGCACCAGTATTTTTAAATTCCCAAGAACCAAAGACATCCCGTTCTCCATCCAAAGACTAGTTTTAAATGTGAACTAGAGCATTTAATGCATATAAAAATGATTTGATTATATATTTTCCATCTCCAACTAGGTCATGGGTGATAGATGGGTAAGGATTGTCATTATTAACATGCGTGTAAAGCCTGGACCATATCAGGCATAGCAAATGTAAAATGGGAGAATGATGAAACTTATGCAGCAGATTCTTGGAAATCTAACCAATGGTAAAGCCAATTTGTTTGTATACACAAAAGTGTGTAAGATCAGAGTTTTGGAGGGTGTAGCTCTCATTGAATGCACACTATAACTGTTTCCTGAGCTATGTCTTCTAAAGGAGCGCTCAGCATGGATTTCACATGTAATAATTATGATACATCTCTGAATCTAAGTTCACATTTTAGAATCTTGATAAAAATAGCAGTCATGCATTTTGGACATTGTGTCATGTTTATCATCTCAACAATGATTTCCAGCAACACAATATTTTGTCAAAAGGGCAGGAAAGAATAGAAGGAAAAAGAAAGACCTTGGAAGATTAGTAGCAAAAAATTTTACAAAAGCAAAAAATAAAAGTCTGTGGCACCTAAGCCACTTGCTGTCTCTGTTGGCCCTTGTTGGTTTCTAAGGACAACCAATATTTTTAAATCTAACATGAAAAGTTCTACAGAGGCAAAACAGGTCCCCAAAAGACTTTTCTACCACCAGATAATTTTCACTGAGAAATCTTTTGTGGAAATTAACTTATCCTGTGGTTAGTGTTCCTTTAATATAATCTAGGGGATTTACAAATGTTTTCACAGACATATTATGAAAAACAGAGAGCAAACAATTGTTAGGGTTAATTTTTGGTACATCTGAGAGTAAAAAAACTAACTAGCCACTTATTCAAACAGGAACAGTCTCTCTAGTCTTTTTTTGTATCATTTAGATCTGTTTGGGATAAAAACAATGAACAGACTTTACTGGTTTAGATAATGGCTTTAGGTATAGATTAAAAATGGCTTCATGGACCCAGATATGGTTTTACACATCTGTAATACCAGATATTCAGGAGGTGGAAAATGTGAGGATCATGGTTCAAGGCCAGCCTGAACAAAATGTTAGTGAGGCTCCTTCCCAATAAACAAACCTTGCATAGTAGGTCATACCTATAATTCCAGGTATATGGGAAGCAAAGGTAGGATTGTGAGCTGAGGCCAGCCGGGGGCAAAAACTTTAAGACCCACCTGAAAAAAAACAAAAAGAGGTGGGGGCATGGCTGAAGTGATAGAGTGCCTGCCTAGGAAGCCTAAGGCCCTGAGTTCAACTCCCAGTACCAGCAATAAAAAAAAAAAAAGAAAAAACTTTAATGTAGCCAGGTGTGGTGTGGTAATGCATGTCTGTAATCCCTGTACCCTGATGGCTGAGGTAGGAGGATTTTGAGTTCAAGGCCAGCCTGGGCTACATAGTGAAACTGTGTCTCAAAACAACAACAAAACAAAAAATCTTCATGGGAGGATAGATGCAGTGGTTAAAATGACACTAACAAATACCTTCATCTCCCTAGTCTACCTTTATTACAACTTTATGTAGAGTAAATGCATGTGAAACAGCACCAATGTAACCCAGCTAATAGCACCAATAGCCACACAGATGAAGGAGACCAATGCCAGACAAAAGCCACCTTGCACAACCTCTTAGCTCACGTGGAATCTTACCGAAAGAATTTCCCCTAAAGAATTCGTGGGAATCCTGATAACTGTTTTGTACCAAGACCAAGTTTTGAGGTGGTTTGCTACCCAGGAAGAGTTCCATGATCCAAGCCCTGAGGTAGGAAGAGAATCAGGCTTGTTGAATCAGTAAAGTCATAAGGCAACAGCGTCTGAAAAAAGTGCTCATTATAAAAAAAAACCTGAAGATGAAAACAAGAGACTGGATAAACTGAGGAATGTGATGCATCTTACAGGATTAATAATTTTTTTTTATTATTCATATGTGTATACAAGGCTTGGGTCATTTCTCCCCCCTGCCCCCCACCCCCTCCCTTACCACCCACTCTGCCCCTTCCCTCTCCCCCTTACCCCCTCAATACCCAGCAGAAACTATGTTTTGCCCTTATTTCCCTAATTTTGTTGTAGAGAGAGGTATAAGCAATATGGAAGGGAACAAGGGGTTTTTTGCTGGTTGAGACATAAGGATAGCTATACAGGGAGTTGACTCACATTAATTTCCTGTGCGTGGGTGTTACCTTCTATGTTAATTCTTTTTGATCTCACCTTTTCTCTAGTTAGGATTAATAATTAAACTCCTCGATTGGCTAAAACATGTTCTTTCTGTCCATTTGGCTCTAATAAGCCAGATACAAGGAAAGCAGCTGCTCTGGACTATGTTGTCACCTCACCACCTACAACAAAGTGAAAATCTTTTTTTTCCTCTTAAGTTTGTCATCTGAAGTGGTAGCCAGCAGCCAATGGGGAATTCGTAACATTAAATGGTAAGGGCCAATTATTTACCTAATTGTTATCTGAAGTACCTGCTGTACTTCAAAAATAAAAAATAAGTAAAATTCTTTACAAAATCCTACTCTTTGCTGTGACATTGCCACACAAAAGAACACTGGCTCAATCTTGAGTTTCTAAAGGAAAGATAATTTTATTAATAATATATCAAAATGTACTGTTACATGCATACGTGGGCCCACACACACCGCAGACAGATCAGGTATCTAAGAGCAGATGTTTTTAAGTCCAATATAAAATTGTGATCACTATAAAGCAGCACTGAAGAATGCTCTGTTGCCTTAAATTTTCTAAAAGGTTATAATGACTTTCATCTACAACAAATTGAATAAAGTATCTCAACCCAATTATAAGAAACAAACTCCAACCCACAGTGTTAGATGATCCTAATTGTAAGTAAGAGACCTTAGACTTAAACACAATATCCAACCTAATTATATTCCAAACACATTAAGTGGCAAACATTCTATAGGAAGGAAATGTCTTAGTTGATTTATTGTTTAAATTATGGAAAAATGATTCAGTTATAGGATGAGTTCTTGCATTTAAAAGATCCACTTTTCCATGTAATGACTGTATAATTTGTGTGAAGAAGTAGATTCCAGTTCCAAAGAATGGACTACATTTGATATTGTGTTCTCATCTAGCTCTACAGATCAATTGAATTGATCTGTACTCAGGGTTCTCACTTAAGTTGTAAAAGAAAATCTTATTTAGGTGAGGTTCAATTCTATATTTAAACAAATTATAGCTTTATAACTTTTTATTTGTCCCCCTTCCTTGACTATTACAATGTTCTTGTCTATCACTGATAAAAAATTATGATAAAGTGTGACACAAAGGCATTCCTTTATAGAAAGAGACAAAAAGTATTTATGAATATGGTCTTTAATCTTAAGATTTTAAGAAGATATTCTAGCATTTCAAATGGTAAACAATTCTGATGTCTGTTGATTGTGTATCTTTAGGTTTTCCAGTCTTCTGAAGTACCTTTTCCCACTGAAATTAAAATAGAATTGTTTAAATTCCATCAAGGAATTCCACGGGGAACCTTTAAATGTCAGTGGACTTTCCTTTATTTTTTCCAATGATGTTCGTCAAACTAACAGTCCTCTTAATACTTTTTACATCATTTTTTTGCCTGCGCTATTCCAAACTTTACCATAAATTTCTAAAGTGATCATATACTTATTGTCCAACTCAAGACACTTTTGAGGGAGTATATTAGTAATGACCTCAAGAAACTGGTCTTATCTTGAATAAACCTGTAAGACAGAACCACCTATTCTGTATCTAAGGAAATTTCTACTTAACTGCAGCCCTCCTCAAACTCTTTGTGTTTCTTCCTTTAAATTCTTACGCTTGTATTTTCCTTTACTATTGTCAAATTTCTTATGTCTCCCCATACTGCCAGAAGTAAAGTAAATATTTTCCTATTTTGTTTTTTAGAACAACTCAGTTCTTTATATTTTGTTATTATAAAGGGAATGTAGAGACTACCATACCTTTGTCAGCCAAAATGTCCCATCAAAGCATTTTCCTAAACTGGAAAACTACCTATTCTCATGGGCAATTCTCTCTAGGGTAGAAGACACTATAATCAGGTTTTGTGTTCCCTTTAACTTATGTAACATTTATCTTCCTTCCTGCTACTACTGCATCTCCTCCTATAGTGAACAATGTTGATGGTTGGCTTGGATTTTCTGGATCTTTGTACCCATCTCACATTCTTCTGTAAAAGGCTCATTTCATTTTTTAACTTTAGCTGATTTCCCTGAATCACTAGGGTTGTCTGGCCAACACAGAGAAGTAGAAATTTTGGGGCTTACCTTCCTCTTTCTGGCTAGCAGTTGTGGGCCAGTGACTGGTGTCAGAATATTTAAAAGTCCGCTCCTTTACTTCTAGAAGATCACAATCTTTAAGGTTTAATTTATACTCCTCAGAGATATCCTTAATTAGGCTGATTATACAATTTTTCTATGTGAAGAAAAGAGTTCACATAGCACCCCTGACACTGTTATTCTTAGATTCTTGGTTCATAAGGATGACCCTTGGCCTGCATCTAGGTCTTTAAATGCTAAAGAACTCCATCATTCTATACTTCAGAAGAGCAAACCTTGCCCTTAAACATTGTTTGTTTAAGCAGTGTAGTTAGATTGAACATCTGCTTTTCTTTGGGTCTCTAGAATTTTGGTATATGCAAGACATAAGATGATTACTTGGCCAACCTTTAATAGAAACCCTGGACTCCTGGCACAGGTGAACTTCCATGGAGGGCAGTACATCATATATATTGTCACAACTCATTGATGGAGAAATTAAATCACACATCTTCTAATTCTACCTAGAGAAGACTCTTGAAAATTCATATGTGCTTTTCCCTATATGTACTTTGCTTTTGCTGAGTGCACCACTGGGTATGACTGTATGTTGAGTCATGTGAGTCTTAATGAATTTTGAACCTGTGATGGTTTTGGGAACCCAAGACACATGAGAGAGAACCCCTATCATGGCTACTCTTGATTGTCAAGTTGATTGGATTGAGAGATGACTAGTTTAGTAAAGCACACTTCTAGGTAAGACTGTGAGGGTGTTTTCAGAGATTAACGAAGAGGGTAAGGAAGACTCCTCTGGATGTCAATGGCACCATCTCATAGGCTAGGAACCTGGATGGAACTTGGAGAAAGCCCAGTAGCATGATCATGCTCTTTTCCTACTTACTGGCCACCATGATGTGAGCTGCTCTGCTCTGCCACACCCTCCCTCTCATGATGGATTGACATCTCTGGAACTTTCAGCAAAAAAAATATTACTTCTCCTGAGCTGTTTTGATGAACTTATGCTTCTGGGAGAATCTTTGGGGCTTTACTCAAAATATCAGTTATACCCAATAGCTCTAGAATCTTTTGTCTGTTTATGGAGTGCCTTGCTCCACATTCTACCTGCTTTTGTCCCCCTTCAAACTGTTGCTCCTTAATGAATACACACTTGGACAAATTAGTTCAGTCTTTATAGTTTATAACTTGCATACAATTGTACCCTATGACTTAAAGTAAAATAGAGCACTATTTTGCCACATTTCTCCCTACACCAAGTCCTGCTCTCCAGTGGTAAAAATTTTCAATACTTTTTAGATGTTTATTCCTGTGTTTGCCTCAAAATTTTGAAATAATATGTATTTCTCTTAATACAAACCATGTAACAGGTACTTAGAAATGGCTTTTGCTGAAAAGTTCTGACTCCTCACTTGGACCCATAAGATAAATGAAAGCAGGTTAAAAGTCTGGCATCTCTGCCTTTATTTTGTATTTGTCTCCTTTACTTTGGGTCAGACTCCTGCCAAACTCTCCACACAAGCATGTCCACCATTACAGTAAAGTCTGTCTGAAAACTGCAGATACCTATCTCATTCCCCTTCAAGGATGAAGGAATAAAGATACGAGGAATCAAGGCATCTTATTGTCAACATTTACAAGGTCCTTTTCCAGACCCCTGAAAAGATGCCTGAAAGACTGTATTCACTGCCCTGAAGCAGCAGTCACTGTGGATTACAGGAATGGCAGAGCCTCATACACAAGTAACCCCATGATGAGGCCACTTTTATTGACTGCTCCAAGCAGAAGCAATCATCTCATTGGAACCAGACTGTCCACTCCCCCAAGTAATAAGAACTCTGGAGTCACCTTGTAGCACCAGGACTAAGATTATGACCAACCAGATCACAGTTTGACCAAGACTGCTTAGTTATGCATATGCCTCTCCCTATCCCAATTCTTCCTCTATTTGAACCTAAAGCTCACATCAGTAACCTGAAAATGGGTTGAAATGTTTGCTCTCCATCTTCTCAAAGTGTCTATTTTGATTAAAATCCTTCCCTGATTTTCATCATTACTTTTGTTTGCTTTTTTTGAGGGGGGCGTGGACTTGATATGTGAAAACTCATAGAAGCAGGCCTCTGGCCAAGAACTACAGTTACAATCCTATGTGATCAAAGAAGTATGATATGAACTACTTGGGAAAGAAATAGAATCCATCTTACCTTCCCTGCAGTCAAATGGGGATACACACCCCAATACAGAAGGAAGATACAGTGACAAAAATGTCAGAGAGAATAAGCAGTCATTCGATAAGCCAGTGCCTGAATATTAAAGTCATCTTTCCCCCATACATCTTCAACTAGTTCTTTTGGCACATAAATAGTTCCCAAAATAGGCAAAATTCCTGTTTCAAAGGCTTGCCTCATGCTAATTTCAGAATATTCTTAATCACAGGCCTCTTCCGTACGGTGAGAATCTGGTCAGTATGCTGAGGTTATCTGCTTCCCCCAAGAATGGAACAGTAAACAAGGACAGTCCTTGTTACTCTTACTACTGTACCTTTAATATCCTTATAATGATGAATTGTAATTGCTTATTTCAGGAAAATATTGCCTTTTGGTTTCATAAAAATCTTAATCAAGTATGACAGAATTGTGCCTGTGAATATCATTGATTATATCATAACTTTTACTAGTGTGGAAAAGATAAGAAAGGTAACATAAAAGTGCAAGCATCTGAAATTCCTGAGATATATCATTTTACAAAAGCATACAGAAAATAAACAAGAAAACTGTTTTTGGAAATCCCATGGAATGGTATCAGTACTTTGATATCTGAAACAGAGCCCATGGTAAGGAACTAAGAATGGCATGATTTACTTATTTTTTTAATAGGAGAAAAGTTGGAAACAACATTGAGTTTGTAGTATCAAGCAATAATTAAAACAATATATGCCCCCCTTCCCCATCTTCAGTTTAATTGCCTTTGTTCCACCTCTATCCAACCAATTTGAGAAACAAAATACTTTCTGCTTACCAAATTTACATCTGTAAATAAATCACAGAAATGCTGCAAAAATGAAAATAGGGTAGATGCTGAGTGTCCTCTAGGATTCTTCCCCAGTCCCACCCTTGAAGTAGTTCCTCCATTTGTGCTAGAGATCTGAAACTGCTTTTCTGATGATCTAAATTTCTATTGCACATAAAATGCTTATCTCTTCTTGAAGACTCTGATTGTCTTTTGAGCTCTCTTTTGTCTTCTGTTACACTCTACTGTCAGAGAATCTACATAAAACTCCCGCTGGCTGCTCTCACAACCTTCCTTAACCCTGCTCCTTAGAAAACAATTGGAAAAACAAACAGCAAAGAACATCTTAATCATCTCTGGGAGTCTAGATGAAGAATATTTCAGAAAAAGGAAAACAGAGACTTTAAATGCTTTGGGTCATTAACAAAGTTGTGAAATTTGTGAGGAATGTGGGAGAAAAAAGAAGTCTTTTTATTATTTGCTAGCTTCACAGACACTAATTCTTCATGTCCCTAGTCGAACTTTAACTTAATTATAAAACAAAATCCATAGCTGCAGCCTAAGCCTGGGGGTAGAGTCGGCACTACTAATCAACTTTAATTCCCTAGACCCAATTTAATTACAAAACAACATTTGGTGCAGCTGCTAAACACTTATGAGGTGACCACATGATAAAATCCGAGTAGTATTTAAGTCTCCAGCTTTAGTTATTATTCTATCATCATAGCTATGTCTCAGTCATATACAAATCTAAGCAGGCTCATGAATTTATGGTAGAAAGAATTGGTTTTATACACCACTGCAGCTGAGACACTTAAAGTATTAAGTTGTGTTTCAACTAATTAATGTTGGGGGAGGTATACAGGAAGTAAAATTTAATGATGGATGAGATGTCGTAGTAAAAGACTATAATAACAAACCCTATATTATTTGCATACTTCTTACCTTTTTAAATTATCCATCTGTGATGCAGACAAAGTAAAATTAGTTTATATGTATTGTGAGTTACCAATTTGTTTTGGTTATAACAAGAGTTACTTTCTAATAAAGTGGTCACAGCTAACTACTACCTCTGGTTATTTTGTAGTGTTTCAAGAGATAGTTAAAGAGGTGATAGCTACAAAAAAATTTTTAATTTAATTGAAAATTTTAATTTAATTTGAAAAAATTAAAATTAACCATGAATATTTTTAAATATCTAGTCTATGGAAAATATGCTTAATTTACATAAATATCCAGTGTTTGGGCAAAAAACAAAAAACCCCTCTACAGTTTTTTTTTGCGAAAAAAAAGGGGGGGCCCTG